AGGCGCCAAGGATCCAAGTGCAACTGATTATGACTAGTAACAATCAGATACATACAGATTAGAGATGCATGCGCCAACATCTCAGTGTTAGTAGCAAAAACAATGAGTCTTTCTGCAAGGAACAATATATTCTAAAATGAAATGGAGATCTTTTTTAAAGGTTAAAAAACTCATTCAATTTTGCGTCTTATAGGGCTTATACTGAGTTCGATATTGTATAACTGTATTAACTCAACTGTAAACCTAGAAACTTGCACCCACTTGTGAAAGAGATGTACTCTTGCTCTGGAGTGTGTTAGTGAATATGTTAAATCTGTAGTGAAATACTTCTTCTAATCATGTAGTTATTAAAAGTTTTTTTAAAAAAGGATATGGGAATGGAGATATTTTCCTTAGCTACAGTGTCCACCTGTAGCTAAGGGAAACAACCAGCTATTGTTCTAACATGATGGATAAATTTGTTTTCTACCCCTATCTAGAAGCCTTTGAGAGGGAACTGACACTCTTGCTCTGGAGTGTGTTAGTGAATATGTTAAATCTGTAGTGAAATACTTCTTCTAATCATGTAGTTATTAAAAGTTTTTTTTTAAAAAGGATATGTGAATGGAGGTATTTTCCAAAATAGAGTGAGAAAGCCTAAGCAAGTGATGAAGGTCTGTTTATGTTTGTTTTATATATAAAGGATGAGACAAAAATACTACACATATCTTAAATTTTCTATGGTCATAGTTTAGTCAACTAGTTTAAGTAATAAAATATATATCTAGTCAAGGTTTATCTGAGAATACTTGGTTTTTTTACCCAAGCCTTATCTACATAGCACATGATAATTAAATGTACCAGACTGGTGGAACTAACCTTATTGGATGTTTAACAGCCATAGCTTGAGGCCTATACTAATGTGATTAGAAGGATTTAAAGGACAATTTTTGCCCCTTGTCCCCCAAGGTCGACTAAGTTCCAGGGGACTATGGAATTTCTCTCAAAATGTCTTATAACTGTGGTGAGTCACCTGTCCTCTTGTTCAGGGAGGAAATTGAGACCTCACGAGATGGACTTGAACCAGTGTCCCATCTATAAACAGGAGAGTCAACTCAGAGGAAGCATCTCATCCATGCTTCCAAGTGAAGCCAGAAATGGTCAAGCAGGACCTTTGGCTTATCTTCACATAGATGGAACTGGTAAAAGAAAGGAGCCAGGAGCTCCTCCCAAGCCCATGTGACCCCTGAGGTACAGATCCTCAAATGACCTTAAGTATAAAAATAAATTGATTTATTTGGGACAACTGTATGGTCTTAAACACCCAAAAGGAAAGCATACCT